CCCCAAAACCCCAAAACCCCAAAACCCCAAAACCCCAACATTTGGTTTAGATGTTAGAACAATTAAGAAACTATAAAATTTCAAAGATGCATAACAATACAGTACATAATGGCTTAACAGATCAAGCTGATGAGCAAGTTCAAACTTATGGGCAAGGAGAGCAATTATAATTTTATAGGATGCTGGACTGGGCTGATAGGTATAATAGAGAGCATCCATACCTTTCGTTATTTTTTTTCTGTGCTTTATAGGCTCGTGTTGATAATTTTTGGAATTGTTATCCTCATGATGGTGATAAAAGCCTTCAACAGACCTGAGGCAAATTACAATGTTATTGAAGACTTTGAGGAGAATTGGAAAACCTTGCCTCTTGTAGACATCACTTCTTCGACCACTGAATGCCCTCTAGGATATGACAACTTGATTGAAAGGGAGTGGCCAGGAACCGTTGTTGGATGAGAATGTAATGGATACAAGCGGGAATCAAACGTTAATTCTCAATTAGAAAGAAATGTCTGCTCTGGAGATCGAGATAAACAAGGATGAGTAGATGTGTATCCTGTTGATAGTGCTCCTCTTGATAAATTCTATTCAGCCAAAATCTGTGGCTTGAGAGAAGGATTAAACTTTGTAGAAACTAAAAGACCCAGAAAGATTGCTGGAGAAACCAAATGTCCATTTGGCCATAAACCATGTGGAACTGGAGACATCAACCAAATCATTTGTGTTAGAGAACAAGAAAGATGTCCTATTAATGATGTCCAAATTCTTATGAATGGACAAGCTCCCAAACCTGGATATGAAGTTGTCCCAATAGACTCTTCATCTGGAGTAAAACAGACATTTGACATATAGGTGATGCTCGCATTCACAACAAATTACACAGGACTGCCAGTGATTAGATTCAAACTAACAGAAGGACAGGTTTGTGCGAATCCAGACACTGACATGATCACAGAGGGAAGAATCCCTTATAAGCTTCTTAACACAGATAATTATCACTCATGTAACCAGAAGGTGTCAGGCAGCTACTATGACACCAGATATGACCTGATTGGCTCAGTCAACGAAGAAAGATTACTTAAAGACAATGGTAAACTCCCTGTTAAGAAGTTGTAGAACTGTATCTTATGTTGTCAAACATGACTCAATACCCAATTGAGGATTCATCCAAATACACATGGAATCTTTACTCGAACGAGTACAACTACTGGAATGTTGATTGAGAACATCATAAAGACATTGACAGAGAATCAATGCTTTCTCTACTTGATAGTTTGATCAGTGTAAACAAGTACGTCATAAGATCAAATATAGGTTTCATATTGCCCTTTTAATCATTGGACTGTTTTATGTAATTTCTTACTAATTTTCTAGACATTTTTCTTCTTGGGAATCATCGAAATCATTTCACTTTTCACTATATGAGACAAAGAATCTCGAATGTAAAAATTGGTTAATTTGTAGAAAACGATTTCAAGTTGTTGTCTTCATCATAACTATGATTGTTCTCACTACAATGACTTATCTCTTCTGGTTCTGTATATCAACAGTTAATGAGGCTGAAGAGTCTATAAGGCAAATGACAGAGTCCAGTTGTTCCAGTGATTACACAAATATGATGTTAAAGAATTATGGCACCTCCTTCTTACAGAGCCAAGAACCTAATCGTATAGGCATGGTCTTCTCGGTAGCTTCTTTAGTGACTACTGTGGGGTTCTTTGTGTTTGAAGCGTGAAGAAGAAGTGTGTATCAGAGTTTCAGAGAAGTTATTGCATCTTAAAATTCAGTATAAAGTGTTTATCCTTTATTGTAGCAGGAATACCTCAAAAATTAAAATCCTCAGTTGTCTTAGAAGTAGGGGCTGTATTTTAAGAGATTGTGGGTCTGATTAGTCTTTCCTTAGTAACAACTGGAATAATAATCATGTTGATAGTGCAAGAATTAGAATAAATATTAAGGGTTATGTATTGAGAGAATTATACTACTCAGAGACCGAATTTTTCTGTGGGTTTGGAATATGTAGAGCAAGACTTAAGTTTCAACATCTAACTCTAATGAATCAGAAAATTAATACTTTAGTTCTTATTATTACTTTTTCCGTTAATCAATTTTGAAGATATGGCCTGGGGTTTTGGGGTTTTGGGGTTTTGGGG